ACCACTGCTCCAGACTCTTGTATCTTCTCTTCAGCTCCTGTTTGCTAGACCAAACACACACAACTTTATCAGCTTGTCCTTACATGTCAGATTTCCTCACTGCTTATCAGCCTTCCTCTCTCTTCTGGACTCTCCACAGTGCCTGCTTCAAGCTGAATACTGTTTTCCAGCTAAAGTGTTGCCGGTGTGGACTGGAAAACAATGGTTACTTCAGCACCTTGCACACACACACAAGGCAACATGGCAGGCACTCACCTCATGGTGTTTTCCTTCTAGTTTTCTGTTCTTTTGTGACATGATGCTATCACAGCACACGTAAATGCCTTAAAGACAATTCTGTTGGGAACATATCTTGCATCTATTCCAAGGTGAAAAGTCTCATCTGTTTGTTTGCTGCGTTTTGGGGGGGGGCAGGGTTTAAAAAAATTATTATTGTTTTCCAGGTGTATTAGTTACTCCTTGTTGTTTTATTGTGTGGGATTTTTGTTTGGTTGATTGGTTGGGTTTTTTTGGTTTTGGTTTTGGTTTTGGTTTTTTACCAAGTGACATTCTAACACATGGATAAAAACCTTTGAGCGCTTTTTTTGGTTAAAGAAAAACAAATGTTATGTTGGTAGTCATTCTGTTTACTAATATGAACATTTTTTCCTTGAAATCCAGAGGAAGGACTAACTGTACAGAACTTTCTGGCGTACAGCCAGGTTACTTTCTGCAAGGGTGAAATTCAGCTGCACTTTCTGCTCATATGGATAGTGCTGTTGCTGTGTGGAAAGTTAAAGACCAACAGTTGGAAATATGTGTTGAAATACTTTGGAATGTTATCACGTTTCAAGGGATCAAGATGTTTTTATTCTAAATCACTGCTATTTAATTCAGTCTGGTTGAAAGAGTCCACAGTTTCTTCAGCTAATGCATCTCTTACTTCTGTGGAAGAGGAAAGATCAACATTAAAGCCCAGCAAAGACAGCATTTTGGGGCTCTACCTTACTTGGGATGTATTCTTGGCAAAGAGAAATCAAGGTAGGAAATAACAAAATACTGATCCCAAATTTCTATCGTATCAACACAAGAACTGGAAATAATACATCTGAGTTTCCTGTCTACCATTTTTGTCATGTTGCGATTAAGCAAAATGCAATGCTGCAGCTACCAGCAGCCTTTCTTCAACATGTGCTGAATTTAACTGTACAATTTTTGTATCCTTGCAGCTATGCTAGCTTTAATGCAACACAAATAACTAATGAAATTTGTTATTTTCAGACCTTTCAGGTAGTTTAGTTTATGCTGGGCTTACCTTTAAAATCCAGGAGTTTTGTTTAACTTGGCTGACACACCAGCTGTCAAGTCAACCACACATTCACTGAAGGGAATGTAGTAGCAGGCAAAGCAAGCAAGGGATTATTGCTTTTGATAAAGGACAAAACAAAAACTATGTTGAGGCCTTTTGAGCTCCAGTATCATATTTTGCAAAGGGGGCAGGAAACGAATGGAAAGTAATATAGTGCAAGACAGGATTTCTTCATGTATAAAACCCCCCAACAGTCTTAGAGACAACAGATATTACTGGAGGAAAGCATAGCTGATAGCTGTAGAGCATTATAATCAATAAATAGCAGTAAAGAAAACTAATTTCTCTATGATTGCCGTGATGATGTTTGGGTCCTTCACTAACATATGTGCACTTAAACTTACGTATAAACCTTCACGTTAATAATAGCTCAAGTGACTAACCCTGTGCAAGCATGAAAATATTTACAAGGTTATGTAGAATTCAGACTTGAGAAAGTAAGAATCCTTGAGTTTTAGGATACTTTGGTTAGTGCTTTAGTTTTTGTACAATTCAGACTGCCTACGTGGTGTAGAATTCTTCATTTAATTAGCAGTCCATTAATGTGTTTCTTAACAATTTGTAGTTTAATATTTTCTGAACACACACTTGTCTTCCTCTCTTGTTCTCTGGAACTGTTTTTAACAGGCACTGGTGATAACTACTGAGCTGTATTTATAGCTTTGTTTGTTTTGCTCTCTCCTGGAAGGATTAATCTCTTAGACATTTCATTCCAGTATCTCAGATTAATTTTCCACAAATTAACCTCAAACAAATTCTAGTGCAGGCATTCTTACATTACAGGAAGTATCCCAGCTAAGATAAGGTGTTGTTTAGACAGGAGAAAGATGACTGTCCCTTGCCCTTTTTGCAAGTCAGCAAAAGTCAGCCGGAACCAGCATCAAGAAGAAAAATATTACAATAAAGTCAGAAAAATAACCATCTGCCTACTCCACTTACTGTTCCTTTAATAAATCTAAATAGCTTCACAGAATTTGAGTATGAGAAATTTTTCACATGTATTAATTCTAGTTTTGTCTCCTAACTGCTAGAAGGAGTTTTACTAGTGCCTTTGTATGGTCAGTCCTGAAGTGACTTATACCCGTTGATGTTTTCCTGGGTTACTCCTGTTTTATGTTTCCTTCTTGGGACTTTAGACATTCTTCATGTTCAAGCCTTGTTTCTTCCCAGAGATACCAAAGAACAGTTTGATTCTCCTGCCTGTACTCTTGCTCAGTGTCTATTCTATATCATTTTCTGATATCAAAAGAACTGCAGAATACAGAGGCAAGGACAATAGAAATCTTGGCTAATGAAGTAGCTTGGGTACAAGCAGATTACCTTAAGCTTTAAACGGTTTGGTATTTCACATCAGTGATCAACACATTACGTTCATGTCCTTGTTACACAGCCCACACATTAAAGGCCTTACAAGAATGTGTGTTTTTAGTGAGACAAAAGGAAACTATGCTAGTTCCAGTCCACTGTATCAAAACTTTTTAACAACAATTTCAATAAACTAGTAGCATCCCTTAAAAAATACCAGACTTAAAGACTCCCAACAGCTGCAACTGGCAACAAACTCCAAAATGTAAATGTTTAACAAGGGAGAGTTATGAGGAAGTCTATGCAGTATGTTTATAGCAAGGCTTTGGCAGTAGCATAGCTAGTTATGATAACACTTTTAGCTGAAGTATTGATACCAAAAACAAAATAATAATCTCAAAGTCACACCCTGATTTCACTTGAGCAAGGTGGCAAAAAAAACTGATTGTGGATAGAGTTAATTATTAAATAACATATTTAAAGAATTCTGTTCAGGTTCTTTTGAACAGGAAGTAGCAATTTGCCCTTGTTTTGTTATTGGTTATAAACTGTCTACTTAATCTTTTAAAAAATTTGGGTAAGCATGATAGTAATAGATCTAACTAAGGTCACATCCTATTACAAATACTTAAACTAGAACACTAAATGAGAAGAACAAAAATCTGTCTGGTAAAGCATATGACTTGTGCTCCCACTGGTTTAATGCCAGTTCTGCAATTAATGGCTAAGACGGGGCTTAGGTCTGGCATCAGATGATATTATTTTCAGGTATGCAGCTGTTTCAAGAAAAAAGTCAAAATTGTTAATATGTCAAAAACATGACAAAAATCAGCATAGCTTTTCAGCTGGCACATCTTTTACAGAAGTATGAAGTGCCCAGCAGAACAATGGAACAGAATAGTTTTTGAAATCTGATAATTAACTTTCAACGATATTGCCAGTTTCTTTCTCAAAAGTCTGTAAATATTTCCCACAGGTGAATGATTCTCTGTTTTAGTCTCATTATTTTATGCCTTCTAAACAGCCAAAACACTGTGAAAGCAGTTCTTTTCCTCACAAGCAAGACAGTTTTAGCAGAGAATGTTGAAAGTTCCCATTTAGAGTGTATATTTTAAAAAAATACAACAGTGAAGTAGACATTTAGCTCCTTTAATAGGCAAAATTGTCAACACATTCTGATAGACATTGCTTTTGATTGTAACAACATTATCTCAAAGCAGCCTTAAAGTTGAACAAATTTCTGTTTAAAAAATTGTGTTTAAGGTTCCAGCAGCATTGTAGTATGTGATGTAACAAATTTCTTATCTCATAAATGTGTCAAGAAAACACATCATCACTGTATAAACACTAAATTGCAACCTGCCAAAGTATTGAACTCAATATGCAGTTTGAAACTGCAGAGAGAACAAATGCAGAGGGAAACAGAGTAACGTGGGTTTGCATTCAAAATATTTGTAGATTGTATAACAAGTTCTTATTTTAATCCAGTGCCATGAAGCTTGAAGGAATCCCACTGTGCCTTCAGAATACCAGCACCTTATATAACCTCATTTTCATTACAATTAAAATAATCTCACTACTTTCCTTTACAGTTCAGCAGAACCACCATTTCAAAATTATCAGCTTGGCACCTCTTCTTCCTGGTTTAATTTTGCATTTGAACTGTGGACAGAACACTACAGGGATGTAACGTATTTACTAAATGGAAAAATGTTGATACCTTAAGTCCCAACTCTCCAAAGTGCTGCTACTAGTGACAGATTTTCAAAGCCTATGACCATTTGTGAATGAAAGTAAAATAATTTGCATGCATGATATATATTTCCAGGTCTTACTTAAAGCCCTCTTGAAGAAATATTTCTTAATTCTCTTAAGCCTTTCACTCTTAACAGCTGGCTCAGATATGAGCTCAGTAACGGGCAGTAATGTTTATCTCCTCATCCAGTAACCTGTCGTTTGCTATCCTTATTTGGAAGGCGTCAGTAACAGCCGTTCTTCCCTAGTGTGACCTCAAAAAAGTCATGATCCATTTTCCTCCCTTCTAAAGAAAAAAAAATATCAAGGAAAGAAGGTGTCATCTGACTTGATCTATATTTGCTCTGGCACACATTGCGCTCCTCCCATCTCCGAGGTCCAGACTAGAATTGGTTTTACCAGTCTTGGTAATTTCTGCAGGCAGCAGTTGACTTGACCTTTGAATCCAGCTAGCTTTTTCCACCAGAGGACTAAAATCATGGGCTGTAGGAGGGATTGACTTCTGTCACTGGGTTATGAGGAATTAACATGAATCATTGCAATTCCAAATTGCCATTCTTTTGATGCACGTGACAAGCTGAAAAAAAGTAAGTCACAAGAGCCTATTTCCCTTATAAGGACAGTCTGGAGAATGGCTGCCTTGTCCCAGAGGGCTACATTTGGTCACTGAAAGTACAGTCACTACAACCTGTGCTGCCCTCTCTCCAAGGCAGAGGCAAGTGTCCAACAACGCCCGAGCACGGCCAGTCACTGTGGGGTAAGAGGTAATTGTCTCATAATCCATTCGGGACAACGTTTGCTGGGAGCGAAGGACATCGAGGATGTGGTTGAGGCGTCCTTCTGTCATGCAGCTGAGTATGGTCTGTCTCTGGCAGACTAGCATTTGACAGCAGTTTCCTTTGCAGCACGGATCTTGAGTGAAAAGGAAGGAAAATGAGATAAACCAAGTGTTCTTTTCTTCCAGAAGTTGTTAGCAAGTGATAGCATCAACACCACAGACTCCGTAGAGGAAAAAAAAGTAGGAGGAGTTAGTTTATTTGCATTCTTCAGAACTAGTCCAATGTGTTTTCATCTTTTGTTCAAAGCTCAGGAGGATCAAATGATAGGAAATAGGTGTTTCTAAAGACTATTAAGTGATCAGATTGTGTAATGGAAGGAGATTTTCAGGGACTGTTTGAGACATGTAGCATGAAACCAGGAACTTGAATATATATGTATAAGACATTTATATATGTAAGAACTATCATAGGCCGGTTAACAACAAGTTAAAAACCCCTTACAACCTCCAGGCAGAGGCAGGCTTCACAAATCACAAGTTGGCCTTTTCTGCCTCTGCTCAGTAGGAAGAACTGAGACCATGTAAGTAAGTAAGTAAGTAAGTAAGTAATGGTCCCTCCTCCGAGTCAACTGTTTCTGCAGCCAATAGCTGCTTTTGTAGAGATATGGAATACACAGCTTAAAGTTACAAAATAAAAAAAAAATCCAGACAAACAACTAATATATTTCAAATACAGTGTGTGCTATATTTTTATTATGGTCTTTTCAGAACTGTTCTCAGCCTGAATACGACTCTGGAAAAGAGAGATCTGATGTTCTCAGTGGCCAGTGTCTGAACTTCTGAGAATGTAGGAGCAACTGTATGCAAATAGACTCAGGAGACATTTGTATCAAGTTTGGAGGAGTTATTACACTAAATACCTAAAAATATGCACAAAGTTTAGAGATCTGTGTACTCCAAACTTTCAGCAATTTAATCACTAAGATCTAGCTAAGGAGAATATTGCCACCTCAAACTGGAAGTGGTGTCTTACCTGTGGCTGCTTGTTCAGGATGCAGAGGTTGTGGTCTGTGCTTAAAAGCCAGAGATGGGTCGCAATGCTGCCTGCTTTCTTTGCCCATGGTTGAACCAGATAAAGGTATCATGCAAAAGGAATTTGATTTTCTGCTGTCAGAGCCCAGGTGATCTAGAAGAAGTTTACAATGAGTAAGATGAGACCCTTGAATTGAACAACAGAACGTGTATATATATGCCAGCCACTGCAGAGGACTGGAACTGCAGCTAAAACTAAACTTCAGAGCACTTACTTGTTACTAGCTGTTCTTTGCGCCCTTATTAATATATCACTATTCTTAGGAAGATTTTGACGTATGTTACTACACATATTTGACTTTTTCAAACTGTCTGTAGGAATTTGTTTCTGAAGTTATGGAACATTCTACTCTGTCAATATGTCTGATGGTTATTGATCAGAACTAAAATGCTTGGAAATGCAGACATTGCTACAAGTGAATTGAATACCTGTGCCTCAACTTTTGTATCCAAAGGCACAAGGACTACAGAAAAAGCTTTTGAGGAAATATATCTCTTCTTGACACAAATTTAAACACTTTGATAGGGGAAATCCACATTGGAAAGACAAAGGAAGTTATTTATTTAAGAATGGTGATCACCAGAAATCAATCACACATTCTTGGCAGCACATTTTTTTTGTTGTTGTCATCATTTTTAAATATATCGCCTTTTCTTAGTAGCAAATCACAAAAAAGCAGTTACTCCTTGTGACACAAAGCAGTGTGGTTCCCAGGAGGGACTTGCTCTGTCAAAAGAAACAGGCAATACTTGATGTGCAAGGGAAAGGCAGCTGTATGTTACAGGTCAGGGGGCTAAAAAAAAAAATTAGCAAAAGGCTTTTTGTTCCATACACTTAATCAAAATATTGTGGTTTTCTGCAGTGAACTCATGGTGCAGATGATACCAGTAGAGGGAACAGCTGTGCCCTGAGAAGAGACAATTTTGCATGGAAAATAACATTGGTGTTATCAAACAAGCTGTAATATTTATCCTTTTCTTAGAATGGCTGGAGCTGAGTATGTTTCAAGGTAGAGACCTTTCTTTGTCGTTGCCTTCTGTGGGATAGTATTCGACACACCCGTCTCAAGAATATTTTCTCTTCCAGCATTATTTGCACTGCTATCAAGTAAAACAGTTGAGAAGTTCGGCACTATGGAAGGAATTTTCTTGCTGATTATGTAGTTGATTTTTTGTGGACAGATGACCTGAAAGATTAAAACAGAAGAATTATCTTCTTGGAAACTTAGTTTCTAAACTTTTTCACTGCAGTCCTAGGCTGCCTCTGCAGCTTGTGGTGCCAGCAGGGACCTGAGCTGTTTAAAGTTAGCTCTGATCCAGGCATGTGAGCTTCAGTTCTATCTCTGTTCCTTTCAGCACTGCCAAGTCTTCCAAAAGTGCTTTGAAAATGGGAGTTAACTGTGTTTTGGTGTTATCACAAAGCAGTTGGCCTTGCTCTAAGAGAACTGGTTGAAAATGCTGGACTTCAGCCTAGGACTTTTTTTCCAGCCATCATGTTGAACACACTACAAGAAAGGTTAGATTTTTGCAATTTCCTTAAGACCTCTTCAGGAAGGAGGAGTTCAAACAACTCTTAAATGGAGGATTTTTTGATATTTTTTTTTCTTTTTTCCAAAAGCAACATCAGAGAGCTGCTTAGGAAGAGGGTAAAACAGTGAGTTTTGTTGGTTAACTGGATGGAGCTATCCTGGTTAGGGACAAAAAGGGTTAGGGACATTTTTACCCCACAGTGTTTGTATTATACATTGTCAGGGCTGGCAAGAGAAACAAGCAGCTTATGAAAGACTCTTAATGCTCTCCTGCCAGGTACTCACCTCTGAATTGCGTATGCCCGTCTGCAATGTGTATGTTTTGGAACCTTTGCATGCATTAAGTGCTGTCTCCTGGAAAAAATAGCACAGTAACTCTAAGTACCCTTATGGTTTATCCAATCCATGACTGTCAGGAGCAAGAATTTAGACCGACACTAACAATTTATAGTGACAATATATATTATACTGTAAGGTATGCTGATACAAAGGAACAGTGAATTGCACAGAGTAGTTTTGCATTTTGACACATGTAAGTGGGCATAGAATCTGACAACTCTACCTTGTACCCGTTCATGCTGTTTCAGATTTGAAAACCCAGTTTTTAATTAGGCAGGGGAAGGTCTCTATATTGAGACAGAGACTGGGCTAGCTATAACATGTTTTCCTGTAAGTATCCAAAACAGCAGGGCCATCCTGTGTTTAGTATGCCAAGCTGCCTGCAATAAGGATGTGTCAACACTTGTAACTTTTTTCCATTTTGTACATCTATAGAAGGTTTGTTAAACTATTTCTTAGTTTCTCTATTTCAACCCTTGCAAATCAATGCATTTTCAAGAATCTCAGTAACATTTTCAGTCATTTTGGACATATTATCAGTTCAGCTGTTTGAACAATAAATAGTACTCATTTGCTGATTTAGCAAATTGAAAAATAATCCTGCTTAAGGGAGATTGAAGCATTAGATAATGGAATATTTGGCAGTACAGCCCTAAATAAATTTCAGCAGTAGTGAAAATTACTTGGATTATAATTATGCCACCTATTGATAACATTTTCATCAAGTCTGCTTTATAAGCCCAGAATGTGATTGCAACATGTAGAAACAACCCAGCATGCATGAACATAAAAAACTCCCTTAAGCACAGCGACGAAAGAGACAACACAGCATGAGTTGGGTCCATCCAGATGGAGTCAGGAATACTGGCTTAAGGGCTGAAGCATGTGTCACTAGCTTCTCCATTATGACTAAGGTAACCAGATAGGATAGAGCTAGATTCGTGACAATCAGATTTGTGCCAGATATCCCATGGCAACGTAGACATATATGGAGTTAGCTGTATCATTCAGCTGTTGGCTGTTCCCCACTCATTCCTGTAGCATCAGAGAACCCTCTTAGACCCTAGGACAAGCACCATCTTGTGCCCAAAGCACATCAATTTACAAGCAGTGAAATATACAGAAAAGTGCTGATACTAGTATTGCTATAATAGATACAAACACTGTCGAGGTTTTGGATTAAACGCCTTCTAACCAGTACATACAAGTGATCCGCAGGTCTAGCCCTAATCTGATCTACTTGATGCTACTATTTGTTCTCACTCCCATGGGCTTGCCAGTCTGACTAAAGCAGCTGTCATATTTTCAGAATTATAGGTAGCAATTGACAGTTTGTGGACAACTTCACAATATCTATTTTCGACAGTTCCTGAAGGAATCTGAAGTGCCAAAGGGTACTCTCCAGCTCTACGGCATGTCTGGTAAAACGATGAAGACAAAGCCTTTCCTGGTTTTGGACCCCAAAGATTGCAATTGAAAGAATCAACTAATGCCATTTTAAGAGAAGAAGATTTAATTTTGCACTAACCTTTGCATCCATCAGATTGTAGACTGCAGTGGAAATCGCCTCCTTATTTATGCTAGTCAAAATTCCATTTAGAAGTTCTACACATTCTGCAGGGGTAATAAAGCATTTTAAATACCACATTGTATATGAAAGCATGTATACATTTAGGCATCAGTGAACTTCAACTACTTTACTATTATGTTGAGTAGTCAGATGAACTAGTTGAAATTAGTTTAATGCAACTTCCACCTCATACCTCCTTTTGGTTTCCTTTTTGAACCAATTTTAAAGAACTGTTACAGTCACATTAAAATCCCATTTTCTTGAATGTTCATACAGTTGTAGTGAACTTACTTGCAAAAGGTTTACTCACGACTGTATAACTCTAGCACAATAAAGCTATCTGCAAATTCCTTCCTCATCTGTTCAGCTTCGAAAATTTGCTCTAAAGTCCTCAAATATTATCATTTTAACATTTCTTGGCTATCTTTCTAGGAGCAGATGATAACTGTAATTCCACTAAAGTAAACAATGATAGCACACTACAAAGGAGCTGGTAATGCACTGGAATCAAGAAACGCTGTATCTTGATTCAGGTTGAGCTTTGTTTATCTAGTATATATAGCTACTAATATCCTCTCCTTTATCTGTACTCACATTTACATTATGCTAAACACAATTTTGGAGGTAAGTAAGCCATTTCTAGTAGTACTCTGGTAATCTAAAGACTGCTTCCACTTCAGTTGTTCTGTTACTGATTCAGAGTGCTAGAGCAATGTTCCCAGCAAGACTATCATCTCCATTACAAATCTTGCAAAGAAAGACAATCCTGAATGTTACCTGCAGTATGTGGTCTATAACCTGGTTCTTGATGCCAGCAGAGAGCAATAAGGTGCAACAGTCTATTCCTCCCAGGCAAATTGCTTGGTATAAACTTTTCTGAAATTCCAGGCCGCAAACTGCTGCAGATTCCTGTCAAAACTTCCAGCAAGGTCGTTTGGCCTGCAATTTATAGCAAAAAAGTCACTGCAAGAAATATTAAAAGACCTCCTAACTCTCTTAAAATGATAATGAGCATAAGTTATTTTGTCTATTTTAAAACAAAGTCTGCTTTTTTAAAAGTGAAAATACAGTAACACTTTGTGTGCACTAACCTTTAACAGTAACTATAGCTGTTTATTGCAGTGGGGCATTTCAGAGTAAAGAACTGTCCAAATGATGTCACAATTGAATATGTAAATACACATTGTAGGCTACGTGCATAGATACCTCAGGAATACATGTAATTATTATGGGTATATCCTAAGCACACAGTATTACATAAAGCCTTACACCTGTGTTAGAAGAATGGAATTCCCATTGTACAAAACCCCCTACATTGGACAGTCACAAGATGGCAGCCACAAGCTATATGAACAGTAAGATATCATTCTATGCAGCATTTCTAAAAGGTTCTCAGCTTGTAAGATAAGGAGTCCTTCAATCAGTTTTGCCATGCAGGACGGAGCCCATACCAAAGAAGCCTTTCACTGCTCTTTGCCTCCAGGAAACAGGGATCGTTTGTGGAGTGTGACAATTATTATGCAATGCTTTGCAACCCAAGTTCTTCAAAACTGCTCCCTTTCATCTAAGCAGGTAAGATTCCCTGCTTGTTTAAGAGAACTCAGCATGACCTGGCATTTCTTGGTCGGGATTTGAAACATCCAGTTAGCTGCTTGTCACTAAGATGTTCCCCTATTTTAAAATTAAAACTGTCAAATATAAAGTGGTATCCTCTCTCACTAGAGGCAAGCAGAAAACCCAGCTCAGTAACAGGCTGCTTCAAGAATCACAGAGAGATGATACAAGGTGGGTAAGAAGCTATGCTTTTCCCCTTCAGAAAGATGAGCTTCTTTGGCAACACAAGAGGATTTGCTGAGAGATTCTAACCTCTACATCCCATAACATGAAGCTTGATGCTGTAACATTAATAGAAGGCAAAGGGACATCTGAAAAGACACTGCTGTTTGTATCATAGTTTCCCTACCATAAAGGAATTTGCAGAAAAGATTGATGCAACAAAGTCTAATGTGAACAACAGAGAGATATACCTTCAAAAGGTTTCCGTCTGCTTAGGGTCTCCCAACACAGTATTCCAAAACTGAAAAAAACAAAGCACACCAGCAAAAGACCCATCATTAGATTGCAATCCATACCTATGTTCTCAGTTCCAAGAGAAAGTTCCTTGGTTTAAGAGAAGGGAGTTTTTCAAGACAAAGTCTATCCAAGTCTTTCCTAATTTGATGAGATTGTTTTTCCTGCAGTATTAATTGTTTCCATTTCAACTGAGATGTTCTTATAAGATCAAGAAGTCAGTTAAAATTAAGTTTAAATATTTTTTTAAACATAGGATCAATTAGAATTACTTTTTAGGTTACTATCTTATATCCATTTGCTCTTTTGAATTTCAGAACCTTCTGTTCTCCTTTACCATTTTTGGTTTGCTTTCAGACAATTTAAATAGCAACGGAAAGAGCTGGCCTTTTCA